GTCTCCTTCCATTGTATAGAATTTGTTTGACCTTGTTTTCGAAACTTGGTCATATTGGTAGGAAGACTTATAGGAAATGCACCTTGTCTTGAGTCCATTTTATGCATAATTATTTCCAAATTCGGACCGTGGACGCTTAAAAAAAATTCAATCTCTAAGAAAAGTGCTGTCTTAGACACTATTAAGTTCTAGTTAGTCCGTAAAACCTAATAATTCTCCGAGTAAGCCTAGTCTCATGTGGATAATGACCAAAGAATCTCTTCAGCAGGTACTTGCACAATTGATTAAAGTCATCACAAAGGAGTAAATATAAATATCTATTAAACAGGGAGCTCACTTGTGTGTTGCACGAGCCTCTGGCTCAAGTAACTCCCCAAAATCGACGCCTTTTATTGGAAAGTTGACAATCGTAGGATTTTTCTCCAAGGTAAAGATATTCTTCACGAACCGTTTTACGTATAAGAGTAGGTATGGTGGTAGCCGTTGGAGGCGGAAACGACGCACTGTAGAGTCACGATATTCTTTTTCATGCAGTCCGTTGAACTTAGCAAGAAGATTACCAAGCGGCACCTGGGGGATTATATTCTCCTTGAACTCATCCAGGTAGAGTGGAGCGGGTGGAAGATCACAAGTCAAATAAAGAAATTTTGACTCAACTACGTTCTCCTTAAGAAACAGAATGCAGTAGAAATACATGAAGAATCAGTAGCAGGCAATAGAAAAGGAGTGACTTAAACTTCAATGATCACCATAATTTTGCCCATAGCAATCATGATAATTTCTAGCCTCGGAGAATGAATTTGATATATACAAAAAGCCAAGGTACGACGCTTGAAATTATCATAACTATTTAGGCAGAAGAATAATTTTGTCCATTGAGGTCCCTCTAAGAGGCGGAGTTGCCAAACTATTTAGCGAGCCAAACGATGTTGAAAATATGGGCTAGGGAATAAAAAGGAGTAGCTCATTTGTCAATAAAAGACCGTAGACACAAAGACTAATATGGCATCG